AAGGCCTCAGGTCAAGAAGGGATTCGTGACAGTGGTTGGACATGCAGGGGACGACGAATTTGACGATCAGAAGACGAATGGAAATCAGAAACGATGAAGAAGAAGAGACTGCCTGTGGAAACTCCCGTGGAAACCTCCAACGCATTCTCATGCTACCGCACGAATGTGAGTCTACTACTGGATCGTCACGACGAACGACAACAAGGAAGTAAGAATATTGTTTGTTGTTGGGATACCAGGTAGATACATGTAGGGCATTCTGCTTGAAGGACAGGAGTAGGAGACAAAGGGTAATGCTTTCCTGGGGCTGTAATGGAGGAACATTGTAGCCGTCTTGACAACATCATGAACGGGTAATGGGATCAATCCTATTATTTGCTTCAGTGCTGGAGGCAATGATGTAGGCAACGAAGAAGTGAGGATTTAGTTAAAAGTTCAGACAGCTATAGACATGATTAGGAAGAAGGGGGGGGCGCCCTGTTATAAGTGTCATTTTTCCAACAGAATAGTTTGGTAAGAATGGTTGTCCATAGCACTTGGTATTTAAATTGTTGGCTGATAAACACTGTAAGGATAATGCATGTACCATTCATTGACAACTGGGACACTTCTATGGCCGAAAATGACATGTATGCCAGGATGGGTTCACTTATCCAGGGCAGGTGTGGGTTTTCTTGCTAACTCAGTTGAGGGGGTTTGTTAGGACTATAAATAGATTAGTTAGAGTATGGGTTTTTGAATGATATAATAATGAATATTGATATATTGACTTATGCTCTGATATTAAGAAATCTTAATAGTAACTGTCTTGGAAGTAACTCTGGGTAATGATAATTTTCAGAATTGTGTAAAAACAAGAGATAATAGGAAAAATGTGCAGAAGAAAAAACATATGATGGTATTTTATGCTAACAAGTCGAAGTGCAAGAAATGAAAATTAATGAACTACGTTTGGATAGCATGTGCTGGGAACTTTGATATCATTGCTAAACTGAAACTTGGTATGATTTAAGAGTCGGGATATGACTGCCTGATGCAATATTCAGGGATTTAAGTATTCCCCCAGTGTGATAGTTTAAATGGGGAAGGGGGGAGGAGTTGCATTGTATGTTCGGAGAAAAATATTAATTGAATGCAAAAAAAAGTATAAAAATAGATTGAGCAGTAAACAGAGTCTGTTTGGTAAGTTCGTGGAGGGTCAAGAAAAACTAATTCTAGGTGTAATATACCGACCGTCCATGCTTTGGATCACGATAGAGGGAGACTTCTTTGGACGAAATTGTTAGGGCTTCCTGGACACAGTAACGTAGTCCATAGTAGGGGCTTAACATTACAAATTGACTCTGGAATTTCATTGACAGGTAATCTAGAGTCCAGTGACTACCATGGAAACATTCAGGACTGTTTTTCTGAAACAGAGTGTAACTGAACCTACCAGGGGTAATAATTTTGCTAGACCTAGTCTTGTCAAATAAGGAAAACACTCGATGTGAATAATCTGGAGATCACTGAAGAGCTGGCGCAAGTGATCACAAATCCATCACCTTTAGCATTAATTGGGAATGCAAGAATAATGATAATACAGTAAAAACCCCGATTTTCGTTCTGGCCGATTATAATGGACTTAGGAACATCTGTCTTAATTTTCTTTTTTTTTGGATTGGGGTTATCTAGCTAATGATTTTAATTGACGATCATCTTTACTTATGAATAGAATGATCTGCTCTTTTATGATTGTTTTCTTAATAATGTACACAGTGCCCAAGTATATATACATTCCCCAGAGAGCAATTAGGTCTAATAATGCTACAAGATTGATGACTGAACACATCGACTCCAGGTTGAGGGACTGATTACCTCATTCTCCTCCTCCCTTACCTTCCCTCTTTGTTTGGACTGATGAAGCCACTGTGTGGCGAAACCGTTTTCCGAATAAAGATTCCCAATGCTGCAAACTGTCTCAAATCTTTCAACTTGTCCGTTTTTTCAAACCGATTCCATCACACACACGGCCTAATAATAACGATCCAAATGGGTTAACAAAGGCCAAAAGCATCTATAGTGGAGAAAAGAGGGAATTTTTAGGCGCATCAGAAGAGGAATGTTAACCTTACTGACAAATATGGTTCAGCTTAAAAGAGAGAGTAAAAACGGCGGCGATTAGAAAGGCTAAACGTGACTATGAAATAGAGTTGCTAATGAATCAAAGACTAATCCAGAAAGGTTCTTCAAGTGTATAGACGAAGGTTAGCAGGAAAAAGTAGGAACCACTGAAATCGGGGAATGGACCCTGACGGATAATGAACTGGAAAATGTGTTCCTTATTTAATGACTATTTTTTTGTCAGTTTTTACACAGAAGATGTAAATGAGATTTCCAGTAATTAACAATATTTTAGTTCCTGATGAATTTAAGTTAACTAATATTACTGTCACGAGGGACATGGATATTAAACAGATAGACTAACTGAAACAAAATAAGTCCCCGGGACCCGATGAGTTGTTTTCAAGGGTACTTAAGGAATGCAAGATGGAGCTTAGTCAGCCATTAACGAGTGTATTCAATGCGTCCATCCTTACCAGTGTTGTGCCAGAGATGTTGGAAGATGGCTAATGTGGTTCCTCTATCAATCAGGGGATAATCCGACTCCTTCAAATTACCGTCCAATAAGCCTGACATCTATAGTGGGCAAGTTATTAGAATCAATTATAGCTGACATCAATAATAGGAAATACACGCTTTCCCTCCTATGACGCATCATTTATGTTGGATTTCAAACATCCTATGACGTTCATGGAGAGAGCAATCAGTACTCTCTCTGATGTTGCTATGGACGCTATGTTCTTTTACTATTTATCACCAAGGTATGTAACTATTTTTTTTATTTTTCTGTCATTAATCAAACCTTCAAGACACTCGTTGTCCTTTTCTCAAATAACAGTAAATAGGTAACGAGGTGTTCGCGTCCTTATACCTGCCATTGTCCACTTACCAGTAAATAGCTACCTGAAGGTTAGTCTTTTTCCATGTACCCCTTTAATCCCCCCCCCCTCCCCTTCTTCTGGTAATTTAGTAAATAGGTTTCTTTCTAGGTGTTAAGTTTCTTTCAACCAGCGCACTTTCTAATTATCAATTGTAAAGTTAAAAGGACACAAGTTGCAATCTAATGTTGACATTTATTGTGGCAACGTTTCGCTCTCCCGGAGCTTTATCAAAGCCATTTACAACAATACATTGGACACAGAGGGTATATAAAAGGCTCAGAGTGAGTGAATACTATGGGTACCATTCCGATGTTCACTAGTGGTAGTAGTGTAGTATAGTGGTAGTGACAAAGCAATTAATTTCGTACATGAGTAAAAGGAAATAAAAGCATTCTTGGGTAACATAAAAATAGTTGGACAAATATAGAACTGGAATGAGGCAGGTTGTTTCATGTTCACTCTCTGTGCTTTGTGTAGTAAACAGAAGACTATGGATGGCAGGGATTACTGTTTTCCAGGAGGATTCTTGCTAAGACTTCGGAGATTGTGAACTGCCGATGTTTTGTTTTAAATTGTATTCGAAACAGTGGGGGATTTTCAGAGCTGATTCAAGGCATTTGCGTGTGTCGAAATTAGTACTCTTTTATCACTAATTTGGGCGTCTCTGAATTTCATAAGAATGATTGTGAATTTCGGTGTTGTGACACAGCGTTGTTTAAGTTGTCGTTCCTACATGCGTATAGTGTTCACATGAGGCGGGTGTGTCGAGGGTTTCTTGCTGTTTCACCTACGTAGATCTGTCAAACGCTCCACAGGGTAGAGTGTAAACCCTGCATGACTGGTTCTGTGGTGCTAAGGTTTTGTCCTGGTTAGATCCTTTAGGGAGTGGTAGGGAAGCGGGGGATGGCGACTCTGGTGTTAGCTTGTGAAAGTACTTTGAGACGTTTAAGCAACCTGGCTGTTGGGAAGAATTATAACTTTTTTTTTTTTATTTTTTATTATTTTTTGGGGGGGGGTTGGGAGCGGTGTTGATGCGTGTAGATTGATGATCTGAAGAGCTCTTTTCTTGCAAGTCTTTGATGAAAAAGAGAAATTGTAACTCAGTGAATTTTGGTTGACATGGTAAGTACATTCCTCGTCAAGAACTCAGGGACTACAAATTCGTAATGATGGCTTCTTAGGAAAAACCCGATGAAGATGCCTCTTTTGTCTTGGTATCTTGACTGAATAGAGTGTGTGAGATCATTTTTTATTGGTGGTTTCCGATAACTTGAAAATCTTAGGTTGTTGTCTACGTTTGTGAATGAGGACGTCGAAGGAAAGGTGAGCTTGTCATTGACTCATTCCTCTAAGTGTAAACTGAATCGCTGTTCAACTGCGTTAGCCTTGCCTGAAGATCCCGTACATCAAAACGGTTTTGGATTTATTACAGGACATCGTCCACGTAACGTAAACCAAGTAACGCTTGAAGGGATGAAGTTGCGAAGTGTTCGGACTCTAGGTCGTACATGTATAAGTTTTGGCTAGGACGGCACATAATTGGGACCCCATTCCCATGCCGCAGGTTTGTTTGTAAGCTTGTTTTATTGAAGGAAAAACAGTTGAAGTTAACACATCAGAGTTCAATCAAGTCAACAAAATCTCCGGAGGTAAGGAAGATAAGGTCCTGGTTTGACTTTACGTCGTAGAACCCGATGGCTTTTTTGTAGGTAACTTTTGTGAAGAAGGGAAAGTCACATCAAACTGCTTAGTTTCTTGTTAACGGATGGAAGGTTACAATGCGGTTTAGAAGGTCGCCTGAGTGTTTAAGATGAGCGGGGCTGATTGGTCCCCAGAAGTATATATACAAGGGTTTATATACAGGGCCTTCTCACTGCAGCTTTATGTGAACCTCTTCTCTAACTTCCTATAAGAATACATCATTGCCCTTAAGTACCTCGCCAACGAACCAACATTATCGTCACCACCGCCGACATAGGAGGTGAGTCGTCATACTCCAAAAACACCAGTGACTTCACCCAGCTCGTCCTTATGTTCCTGCCGTGGTTCATTGTGGAGGCATACACCTGCGTCCAGCACAACCTCTCTCACAAGTAAGTTACCTCCTACACATTTCTAGTTTGTTTCCTTGGTTCTACAAGGCCAACTCCCATTTATTCTCAAAGCTTCCATTAGAAAACAACATAATAGTGTCTGGATCAATAACAGCTTAAAAAGCTGCTATTGATTAAGCTGAGGAATTCCACAAGGATGTGTTCTTAAAACCCTGTTTCTGTTATCTATTAATGGCCAAGCCTCAGCACTTTCTTGGGGAATTTGGTTCTCTTTATATGTGGAAGATTTTGATTTTGTGTTTGCAGGCACGAACATTCATACAAAGCGCAACTGACTGTACGTCTAGCTGCGCTGCGTCACACGACTTTTAGTTCTCAGTATTCAAAACAAAGTCGATTGAATTCACTCGGTGCTGTGTAATTCTCAATTTAATATGATGTGATATATTCTATACACCAACGCTTTTATATGGGTCTGAAACATGGGTAGTGAATGTTGCAACAAGGAGAAGGCTGGAGGCAGTGTAGATGTCATGTCTGAGAGCAATGCGTAGTGTGAAAATAATTTAGAGAATTCGTAGTTTGGAAATTAGGAGGAGGTGAGAGATTACCGAAACTATTATCCAGAGGGCTGAGGAGGGGTTGTTGAGGTGGTTCAGACATGTAGAGAGGGAGGGAAGGAAATAGAATGACTTCGAAAGTGTATAAATCTGTAGTGGAGGGAAGGCGGGGTAGGGGTCGGCCAAGGAAAAGCTGGAGGGAGGGGGTAAAGGATGTTTTGTGTGCGAGAGGGCTTGGACTTCCAGCAAGCGTGCGTGAGCGCGTTAGATAAGAGCAAATGGAGACAAATAATTTTTAGGACTTAACGTGCTGTTGGAGTGTAAGCAAGGTAACATTTATGAAGGGATTCAGGGAAACCGGCAGGCCGGACTTGATTCCTGGAGATGGGAAGTACAGTGTCTCCACTCTGAAGGAGGGGTGTTAAATAACTGTAATGTATGCGCGCCTCTGACAAGACAGTGATGGAATGAATGATAATGAAAGCTTTTCTTTTTCGGGCCACCCTGTCTTGGTGGGAGACGGCCGATGTGTTAATAAAAAAAATAATAAAAAATTATTTTACATGAAGAATCTTTTCTTGAAGGAGCTTGAAGACTGGGTACAAGATGCTGGTGATGCTGGCTTCATCTTCTTCAGTCTTGGCTCAGCTGTCACGCCCTCCAGTATGCCAGAGGAGTAAGAATTATCAATGTTTCTTAATAAGATTATTGTATTAGAGGGCGCTAAACCCGTACGGGTCATACAATGCTTAAGGAATACGAACTTAAGCGGGGTTATATATGTTTCGAGTAAGGAAAGGGTACCTCCAGTTCCTTGAATCGAGATTCCTTCACTAGCTTCCAGGCACATCCTTGAAGGAAGAGGAATTAATCCCCTCTTCAGATTTTATTTAGAGTCTAGGCTTGGCACACAACCGAGAGCTACCGGGTTAAGTATCCAGGTCTGGGAAAAGTATGGGCAAGTTTCCTTACACTTTCTTGCCCCTGCTCACATTATAGTATAAATGGGCACTTGTGTTTCAGCGAAGAAAAAAATTCTGTGCAAAAAATATCATAGAGTCAGGAAATAATGGAAATGTAACCCACTTCTCCAAAAATTGTCTCACTTTCACATAAGGTTCGCAACCCATTTCTAACTTAGGTTGAGTTAGGTTAGGTTAGTTTACAAAGATAAAATATTGATATAAGACGATAAAATAGTCTGCCGCGCGAACACCTCATGTAACTATGTCATATTTCAACTGTTCAAGGCTCCGTTAACAAGGTATCCATATGACTGATTTTGCAAGTGACATGATGACTGAGGTTCAGAGGATGGACTGTTGTAATGACATTGTCTTCTTCAGTGTAGATAGGTAAGAAAACTCCAACATACTGAAGGTATTCAAAAGTTATATATAATATATTATTAATTTATTTATTATTATTATTATTATTATTATTATTATAGTGACAAAAAAAGAAACTTTTTCACCGTCATTCACTCCATCAGTGTCTTGTCAGAAGCACTCCGATACTACAGTTCAGATGCCTCTTAAAACTGCCCTATCTCCAGCCCTCCAGGGCTCAAGTCTGGCTAAAGAATTTGCCTGAATTACTTCATAAATGTTACATTGCTAACACTCCAACAGCATGTGAAGTCATAAAAAAACACTTGTCTTCACTCACTCCTAACAAGTTCATACGCGCCTTTCGGATGTCTAAACCCCTCACATGTGTAAAACAAATCACCAAATTCAACAAGAGATGTGGTGAAGAAAATTTCGGGGAGAATTTCTTAACAGAGATTTGTGATCAAGTAATCTGATAATTTTCTTGGGGGAATCTTCCCCCTACATATGATATCACATACGGTGTGGCATGCGAAGAGAATGTCACATTCCTATATAGGCTGCCTCTCATCCAGTGAATCAGGTGCTAAGGGTTTAACGATCGATAGGATAGCCGTCATTAAATCAGTACATTTGTTCATTGACCAATCACAGGCAAGCCCACCAAAGCTGAAGGAACGTGGCTCACTTGCGGTAACCATTGGCAGACTTGCCTACCTGCTGGTTGAGTACGGTGCACTCTTTCTGGCTTCTGTGTTGCCATCTGTCACGGTGATGTACATTTATTATTCTGTCTGTACATATTGTACATACCTGTATATAGCGGGTGAAGGCAAATATACTGCTGAGTCGTGTTTGTTCCACTCTCATTATAACCAGGTATTGCAGACCATTCATTACCTTTATTCGTAATACATGGCACTGGCAAACTGTACTACTTAGTGAGAATCTCCATACACAGGAACTTGATTTTTGAAACTGTTGCAAATTTACCTGTCGCTAATTCCTCACAGTATTGCACCTGAAAATTCTCTTTTATGCTTCTTAATTCTACAAGAAGTAAAGCAGTGTATGTTTGTGTGTCTATATAACTACTCTACTCAATAAGGGCAATAAATAGTTGATAATATATCTCGCTTAAAAGTACTTGACGTGTACACTGTGATCCATCAGCTGCCGCACAACTTTATGATCTCAATATAACTGTTACTAATGAACATTTTTGTTTAGAAATATATTAATTAACTGTTATAATTTAAAATAAATTAATGTAAAGATCTGTTATGAACAAGTGTAAAGTTCCTGTTCATTAAGTTTTTTTTTTCTTGCACTGCACTGAATTTCTAAAAAATATAATAATTAAAAAGTTATATGCGCCCAGTAAACTGTCGCCCAGTAAACTTTCCTTAAATTATGTACTGTACGAGTTGCATGAAGGATTTTTCCACATAGGAAAATCTGTTCATATTTTTATGCGACATTTGAGTTTATATATTATAAATTTTTATTAAAGATATAACAACTAGTTTAACTAATACATCTTAACTTGTAATTTTATTACCAGGATATTTAAATAACTATAATCTGGATCACACTATGAATTCCACAGTTTGACGTGCATGTATTGTCACAACCAGAGGGAAGAGCTAATTACTGACAAGTCTGGAGACAAAGACGTAGGTTGTAGAACAAACTTTAGTTAGGACAACTAAAGCATGTTCAGTGTTCAGCATTATCATAACTTTATAAAACACTACTCAGAGCGACATGTTATTATAAAGCTTGTTCTCCAACTTGTTTCTTTGTCTTTATATTTGACTTTTTTTTTACGGTTCGGTAGATGAGAGCAGCCGCATAATTAAGCTAACACACTATACACACAGGTACCGCACAACCTTGGTTCAAGTGTTTGCTTCCCTCAAGCAGAGAGTCTTATGGAATGGGATCGGGGACCCCTGGATGACCTACCACCAAATGTCCGTCTTGGCAAGTGGCTCCCACAACAAGATATTCTTGGTAAGTAAATCTTAAGCCTTACATCAAGACACATCGCTAAAAGAAAAAAACATAAATATTAAGACATCATTTCTAATTTATTTTGAAGTATTTTAAAATAAAAATATTTAATCCATGCTAAAAAAATATTTTATAACTTTTTTATCATTATTCAAGTAATGTGGAAAAAATAATGTTTAGTATTTGATAATAAGTTTTTTATTAATAATGAATTCTCTTCGGATGTTGTAAGATTCTCATTAAAAATTGCTGCAGACTCTACAGGACTTTAACCAGGTTCATTAATTCACATTAAATATATTATAAATAAGACCAATAACGAAGACAAAAATCCAGCTTTACAGAGTTTTTTTTTCAGAAGACACCTGTGACATACCAGCGACAGAATAGCAACTATGTACATAATTTATACGTGTTCCTTACAGAAAATACTGCAATATTTGGAACTTTCACTGTTTCCTAATAGATAAAATAATAAAAATGATAATAATAAAAAGGATTTTCAAAGAAGAAGAAGAAAGAGAAGGGGAAGAAGAGAGGGAAAAAATGTAACTAGTTATTTAATACAGGTGACCCTCGCTTGCGTTTGTTCATCACCCACGGTGGGTTGCTGAGTACCTTGGAGTCCATGTACCACGGTGTAGCGGTGCTGGGAATGCCTGTGTTTGCTGACCAGTATTCCAACATGAACACTGCTAAAGGGGGACGGCTGGGGCAGAGTTCTTCTCTGGGAACAACTTACTTTTGATAATCTCAAGAATGCGATCAGCATCATCATGAATAAGAGGTAATTGTGACCACAAGATTTTAGTTGTATCGTAAAGGTTGATTTTTGTTTCAGTGCTTCCAGTTTTTCCCACCAAGGTTGACGAAAAAGATAAAGATATTACCATCACTCATTCACAAGATCTCTCCAGACAAATACAAGGACATGACTATTTCAATATTTCTCCACAAGGCAACACATCGGTCGGGTCTAACAAGCGCTCGTTAATAAATTAAAAGGGAAGTTATATCCCTGTAAGGATTAGAAAGAAATGAATAATGGATATAATGAAAGTGAATATTTTTCAAAACAATGACTTGCTTCCTTCCGGGCCGCGTTGACCCCCGATAATCCTCTCTAGGTATACTCTAGAGACCTTTGAGAATTTAAAAAAACTGATCCAAATCTCATGCTGTAAATTTATTGCAGTTTTTGAACTGTAGTGTAGGCACTCCCTTGGGAAGACATTGATGAAGTGAGTGATGATAAAATAGTTTTTTTCTTTTTCCCATCACACTGCCTCGTTGAGAAACGTCCGACGTGTTAATAATATAAAAAACATAACTTAAAAGCTGGAGATGATCCGCAGTATGAAAGGAAATAGATTATCTGAGGTGTCAAAACCCGGAAGGGAATAGCTAAAATGTAATTACTTTTGTTATATTAAGTTATATATCATCTGGAAAATAGGGGGTTTCATTAGACTTGATCCAAAGATCGAGATGGGTATTTTATTTATTTTTAATCAAGAGTGCTTCACCAAATTAAGGCATCTCTATTTTCAAGAATTAGCTAACATGACGTGGGTAATGATGATATTTGTAAATCAAATAAATAATACAAATAATTTTTTTGGTGTGTGTGACGAGGCAGCATGAGAGCTGAAGTAGCAAGAAGGTCCAAAGTTTATGAAGGATCGTCCACAAGAACCAGCAATTGGCCGTCTACTGACCAAATATGTTATACGGCACAAGGGAGCCCACATTCCGCTGTCCTGCGTCCACCATGACTTGGTCAGTACCGCTCAGCAATGATGAAATATAATAGTTAATGTGCAGAGCATCCACTGTGAAAAGAATACTGAATTCCCAAGCGATTTCGTGATTTCTCACAATATCATAATTCTTTGATGTGAGAAATCACGAAATCGGTTGGAAATTCTCTATTCTTTCCACATAATATGCAGAACAATCAATGTGGAAGATAACGTTTTGGCACCGAAGTGGCTAGTTTATTGTGCAAAATGATATCCAATCCTGTGGACGGTGGCACAAGAACATATTGATACACCATAAACTAGCCACTTGGGTGGCAAAAAACCATATCTTTTACAGTGGTTGTTCTGTAGATTATGATATCATCTGTTTACTTATTGCATAATAGTTAATATAAACAATAATAGTATTAATAATAATACTTTAAAAAGAATAAAAATAATAATAACAACAAAAACGACGACAACAACAATAACATTATAAATTTGATGGACAGGTATATTGAGAAATACAAAGAAAAGTGAACACTTCACAGTTGCACAACAAATCAGAAATGGAAGGTTTCTGAACGTTTTATTCCGTCCAGAAATTTATAATGCTTCAGAGGGCATTAAAATATCAGCTACTCATAACTGGAATTTGTGTGACTGATATGGAGAAATATGTAATTTATTCTGAGGAACTTCTAATGTTTCTTCCATTCACGTTCGCTTTTTCTTCTTCACCTTTTTTTATTTAACAGTTATGTCTGAGGTTGAAAGTTTTTTTTGCTCAATTATTTGTCTAATATCATTGAATACATATGAAGTGTGTGTGTGTGTGTGTGTGTGTGTGTGTGTGTGTGGTGTGTGTGTGTGTGTGTGTGTGTGTGTGTGTGTGTGTGTATTGCAAATTAAGGACTTTCCCCATGCCCAGGGGCACCAGATTCCGTTTTCAAAGTCATTTCATCAAATCCTGCCACATGCAGTGAACAACGAAAGAGATATGAAATCTTAACAATTCCCAAACAGACCTGGTGCTCCGGCGTATGTGGAAACATAGTCTAGCTTCGGCTAGGCGCCCATACTTATTACCTGGGGTCTGGCTTCGTGCATAATTATATATATTATATATATTTTATATATATATATATATATATATATATATAATATATATATATATATATATATATATGCAAAACAACCACTGTGAAAGAATAGAGAAGTTCCAAGCGCTTTCGTGACTACTCACATTATTAAGGAACAATGTTCCTCGATAATGTTTACTGTGATCTTATTGCATATATATATATATATATATATATATATATATATATATATATATATATATATATATATATATATATATATATAGATGGGATCCACCTCTGGTGTAAATTGTGGGACCCATAGCCTCGGAAAAGTGGATGAAAAGGCTTCAAGGAAGAATATTTGGATTTCTTCCTGAGGCCGTTTGAATATTCCACTTCCCCTACCACCCCATTTTTTCATTCTTTTTCACCAATAGGTATATTTTATTACATATGGTATAAAAAGGTTTAAGAGATGCATTGTTGATATACAATGGCATATACAGTACATGAGATGTGAGAGATAAATGTCTAGTACATATTGTTACATGTTTGTCACTGATTATAATACGAAAATCTCATTAAGCTCTTCAGAACTGGGACGCGTGCCCAAAATACAGCAGGCACTTAGATGCACTCTTTCCCCATGAGCCAAGGGTCTCTGAGTCTATGGGAACAAACATATAAGGATGGGCAAATTCTCCATATTTTATAGACTTTTGGGACTCCATGAAGCTGGCAGCTGCCCCTCCTTCCTCCCTGGTGTATTGGAGATAGGTATCAGCCAAGGTAGGTGCACATGTATAGTCCCACACCACCTGCTTCCCGTCTGTCCAGGCTTGAAGTGTGATACCATCTGGACGCTTCTGGCTGCCATCAGATCTGCATAGTTGGGGTGGCTCCCTTATTGTTGGGCATCCGGCTGTTGTGAGGCTACTCTTGATGTTATTAACCTCCTCATGTCTTTCAATCTTTCCCTCGGATTTACGGCACACATGACCATGGTACCCGAATCGGTCTGCTGTTTCACTGCCACAAATACACCCGTGTTCGGCGAGAATAGGGGCGACAAGTCGAAGGGCAACACCAATGCGGAAGGTCTGTGGGTTGAGCCGTGTGCCAAGGCTGGAGTTGGGAACAGCCAACAAAAAGTCCCCTGCATGAGGCGCTCTCACTGCCAGGAGGCGGGCTCTATCCTTCATTGACAAACAATGAAGCACTGTTGAGGCTGTTTTCTCCACTATCGGGCCATCCCAGTGCGACTGTTTGTAGTTGTTGGGGGGAGCAGGTCTGGTTTCAGAGCCTGTTAGATTATCCCAGATCATGGCTCCGTCAATGAACTTTTGGTCCTGGAGTCCAGTCTTGTCCATAAGATGTTCAGGGAGAATTGCTGCTATAAGCCCTCTGGATGCAATGCATGAGGACAGAAAAGCAGGTAGTGCAATCTGTGATGACTTGCGGATACCAATGCCTCCTAGTTTGACTGGAAGTGTAACTTGGTTCCACTGCCCATCTTCTAGAGTAAGGTTAAGTACTTTCGTAAAAATCTGCCTCAGGATACTGTCATATTCGTGCAGTATAGAGTTATCATATGAAGGTGCACATCTTAGGAAATATGTCAACCTGGGCAGACTCAAGCACTTTGTGAAAAGGTATAAGGCATCGTGGGTGTCAAGATTGCCTATTCGTTGTTTCATTCTCCTCAGTTCTTCTAATTTCTTCCTGAGGATTGTGTCAATGGCATCGCTTCCCAGAGGTGTTCCAAGCAAGACGCTATTTGTAGGGGCAATGACTGCTGCTCCTGGTAGTTTGGATCTCACTGCATTTATCACTTGTTGACTGAAATATCACATTTGAATGGATTCAGGATGAGACCCATTTCCTGTCATCGTGTCATCACTTATGTAAGATCACCTAAGAGGGACTCCTTTGTACCTGCTATTGTGCCATCATCCAGGAACCAGATGTTTAGCTCACTGGTCAGTCTAACTGTGATTTCCCTAACTGCTATACAGAAGAGAAATGGTGCAAGAGGATCCCCTTGCTGGACACCCTCTGATGATGTGATTTCATGCTCTCCAAACAGGAGCATTGATTCCTTGATATATCCAGCTGAAACAAAGGGGAAGAGACCAGGGAAATATTCTTGTACCGCTGTTAATACCACATCTCTTTTCAGGAGATTTAATGCATTCTTGAAGTCTAATTTTACCACTGCATTGTCCTCAGGCAGGTTGTTGATATTCGCCCATGGTGCATGAACCGCTGCTTCACTTCCTTGAGAGACCCCAAAACCAAGCTGGTTTGGTTGAAGCATCATGGCTACATCTGCGCGAATGCTTCAGACAGCAGCTTTGGAAACGAGGCGGCGAAAAGTGTTGCCTACTGCAATAGGCCTAATTCCCCCATCCTTCTTTTTAAGTGCACAAAGTGTTGCACCAAAAAAGAAAGGTTAATTTCGTCAGGAATAAGACCAGCCAAGGAATTGTTGACGAATGTTGTGATCTCTGAAAGAAGTGTCTCTGCAATGTCCCCAATAACTGGATTAACCATTTCCTTTAAATGCTGTGGCTTTATTCCAGTGTAACCCCCAGCAGACCCAGATGGGAACGACATTATTGCTTTGTAAACGTCTGAGTCTTCCACGATCAATGGTCCCACAGTGGGGACAGAGGTGTTGGAACTGTTGGTGCCCCTGGTTTCCCTGGCAGGGTGCTTTCCTCTAAGTGCTTCCGCCGTGTCAGCATCCCTGGGGGCAACTGTATTTTCATTGGTAATAATTCTGATTGCCCCCACTGTGTTTCCCTCTTTTATTTTCTTGTTCACCTGCACTCTGACTTTTTCACTGTCAGTGGAGTGAGTGGGGATTCTGCCTCTCCCGTTTTTGTATTGAAGGGGAAGGCAAATGTGGTTATCAGTTCTAGGAAAGTCTCTTAAAGATTTAATGATCA